ACCTTTTTAACGAGCTCTCTAGGGACTAGTCGCGTCTCAGAGCCTCCTTGGGAAATACCCAGCTGCAGCCGTCGCTTATTGTTGATGCATTAAAATGTTTTTCTGAAGAGAAAGGCGTGACCGAGTGAGCAAGAAAGAGCTCACGGTACACTGAGTCCACTGGAGGCGGGGTGGGTCCCAGAGACTGCAGGGCTCATGCTTAGCTGGTGGCTAGAAACCTAGATGACAGTCTTGAGTATTTTAGGTCAAAAGAAACCTAGACAAGACCCCTGACACTCACCAGACCCTTGAAAACCGCTCCAACCACCGAACTTCAGTCTCGTCGTGCTGCCTGGCAGCAGGAGGCCTGAGACGCCATCCCCCGTCTGTGGGGAAGTTTATAACTTTGCCAGAAGGAAACCCCACCCGACAAAACCAAACTGTACTTTTGAAATTAAAGAGAAAAATCATATTCGTGTGAGGCTCCACATTCATTGGCCTAAATCCATGGGGTCTGCTGAGTATGTGGAGTTGAAGTCGTGTTTCTCAGAATCTGAAACAGGGAGAGGAGCCAGTTTGTCAGCCCGGCTGCATAGCACACTTGCCTTGGGAGCTGGTTGACAGAAAGCATGTGCCAGGACCTCACCCCTGGAGAGACTGGGGAGGGGCCGGGGCATCTGTTGAAAGAAACTGTTGGGGACCGTCTGGGAGCCCGGCCTGGAGTAGTACAGGCCCTGCCCAGTGCTGTCAGCTCCTCTCGGCCGCTGCCTGGCTCTCTCTCATATGCAGAGGAGGTGAGGGGACTCCGTTTCTAAAACCTCCCCCCAGAGGTTGTACGGTTCTCTTGGGATGAAGTTCACCGGCACTAATAGCAACCCCTCCTTGGCCCTGTGGGTACCTCGTCCAGTTTAGTGCCTTTGGCTGCGTATAGACACCGAATGGGAGGCCGGGGGTTGGCCCTGGTGCCCCTCTGCTTCCTGCTGGCTCTGGAGGTGCAGCCCTCCTGGGGGGGCCGTCCACCCCAGCTGCACGGTCCCTTTATGTGGTCCTTTGGGCAAGACCTGGGGGCATTCCAGCCACCATGGCAAGCATTCAGGGCAACTCCTGTAAGTAAGTGGCTTGTTAGACCCAGTCAGCTCCGCAGTCAGGGTGAGAGACAGCCACTGCCGTGAGTGTGTGTGCAGCGGGGGTGGGCTGGAGAGGAGGGTCATGGGAAAGGGTAGCTATTTAATTTGGTACCTAATCCAGTAAGTGGTGAGGGTTTGCTCATCGAGCTCTGTGTGGTAGCTTTGCCTTCATTTGGAAGGGGGTCTGGTCCTCTGAATGCTGTCGGAAAAGGCAGAGTTCCTGTGGCTGATGCCACTCGGCACGTGGCCGTGGACTTGTGGGCCTCGTGGTGGAACCTGGCGGCGGCCGTGAACGCCTTCCCACGTGCTTGGGGAATGGACAGCAGGCCGATGCGGCTGGCTCCTCTAATTCTCTTCCTTTTTCAGAACACAAATACAGTGCCAGGTGGACCAAAGTCATGGGCACAGCTGAATGGAAAGCCAGCAGGACACGAAGGTGGTAAGTGGGAAGAGGTGGGCAGGACGGGTGCGCGCCTTCTCGGGACCATTCCGGTTGGGCCTGGGTTGTCTTGGCCTAAAGCTCTGTGGAGTCTCCCACCTGAGAGTCACTGCCCTGGGGGCCTGGCCTGGGCCCAGCGAGGAAGCGCTGATTCTGAAGGCGCTTCACTCAGCATCTGGGGGCCCTCGGGGAGCCCTAGTGCGCTCCGCCAGCACTCCCGGGTGCCCACCCGGCTGGCGTGGCCGGCGTGCTTGGAGTTGGCTGAGGCGGAGAATCCTTGGTGCTGACCCCCCTGGCTCCATAGTCTTTCCGGTTTTCTCGACAGGTTTAAGGGGCTCAAGCCGACTCTTATCCTTCTCTCCCGAGGAATTTCCGACGCTGAAGGCAGCTGGCGGGCAGGACAAGGCTGGCAAAGAAAAGGGCGCCTTAGATCTGTCGTATGGGCCAGGACCAAGCCTCCGCCCTCAGAGTGAGTGAGCTGTAGCCCGTCGGGCACGCGGGGCGCAGCGTCTCCCTTGCCTTCCTGCCCTCAGACAGGAGTGTGCGGGGCCTCAAACAGCCGGGCGCCTGAGGCCGGCTCCCTGCCTGGAAAGCGTGGCTGTTGCCCTTTGCCTGACCTCTGCACCCACTGGACTTGAACCCTAGGCTGGTCGGGAGGTCACCCCTTCTTTCTTGTTGTTGGGTGGGCCAGGCCTGCCTGCTTTCCTGGCTGTCAGCAGAAAGTTGTGCTGTGCCAGGTGGTCATGGCAAGGATGGGCAGACCAAGGGCCAGCTGCCTTGGTCCCTGATTCAGAAGCGGTTTTCTAGACCAGAGCTTCCCAAACCGCGAATGCCGTCAGGGTCACTTGGGGAGTGTGTTACAAGGTGTGACTCTCAGCCTCCCACCCCCGCCAACTTAGAAGTCCTGTTTTTAACACGTGCCCTTGCGTGGCCCGCTCAGCGCTGACTCCACGGCCCATTTCGGGTCTGGTCCAGGAGGGGCAGGTGTGTGGAGTGGTACTTGCTGGTGAGGTTTTTAGGGGCTGTGGGTGGCTTAAAGTCTTATTTAGGAATGAGATTTTCTACCTGTTCTAACCAGAGGTTCTGAAATGGCTCTTGTCTTTTTGGAGGTGTGTTTCGGGGGGTGTGGAGATATGCGAGACTTGTGTTTGCTTGTCATGATTAACCCCCAAGAGCAGAGGGCCTGTAGAGGAAACGATCACAGTGCAGCTCTCCAGCGCCCGCCTTCCGGTGGCCTGTGTGGAGTCGTTTGTCTACTCCAGAGACACCCTCCAGTTCCTTCGGCCAGGAAGGGGAACTTTCTGGGTCTAGTTAGGACGAGTGGCTTATAGGACCATAAACAGAACTCGGAGGAGCTTCTGGGGTGGGTTCCATCTCCTCTTCTGAGAAGAGGAAGAAGCAGATGGGCAGAGGGGTGACGCAGACGGCTGACCCGAGCCCACATGCGGGGCTTGGAGGCTAGAGCTGAACCCCGTGTTGTGGCTCCGCCCTCGGTCTGACTCTTAGGGTCCCACACGCAGGGAGCTTTCATGTTTCACCTCATCACCCAGGTTCACTGAAACCAGCAGGCATTTGGTTCCTGCAGCTCCGCCCGGGCCTGTGATTCCTGCAGATCCTGCTGCGTTCGGCAGGTGGACGCATCATGGAGAAAGATAGCTCTGTCGGCAGGCCCCCCGGGCCCTGCAGAAGGCCCCCCTCCCCCGGCTGGTGCAGGGCAGGCGGGGCCAAGGCCTGTGGCAGGTCCAGACCCTTCCAGCAAGAGGGTCTGGTCGACACACCCCCACCCCCGGCCAGAGCTGCGCTGCTTCCTCGTATGAACGGGACGATCTCCTCGATTAGAGGGGCCGCCGCCAAACGAAGCAGGAAACATGTCGGAACTCACTCTGGTTTCATGTCAAGTCCAGGGCTGCGGGCAGTGCCCGCCCTCCGGGCCTGGGCCGTCTGTGGGAGGAGCCGCGGCTGTTTCCGTGGGCTGCCTGGTGCCTCTGCGGCCAGCGCCGTGGTGATGGGCTCCTGTCGGTCGGGGAAGATGCGCACACTCTTGCCTCCTCTCTGGGGACCTCTCTCTGTCTCACAGTCAGGCCCCCTCAGCAGGTTCACACGCCTTGGCCAGTGTAGTCTGCCCCCACCTCCCTGACACACTTGACCAGGACCCTACTCTTACTTTTTGTTTTTTGGGGGGCTTTTTTTGGTGAATGAGGGGGTCCCTTGACCTTCAGAACCTCATACAATCCATCCTCCCCCCTTCCTCTTCCCTCTCCCGTTTTGCCCCCTTTCAATTTCCAGATGTGACAAGCTGGAGGGAGGGCGGTGGGCGAAACATAATTTCTGCCACGTCTCTGAGCGCCTCCCCCACTGAGCTGGGCAGCAGGAACTCGAGCGCGGGAGACGGAGCCCCCTCCTCGGCAGGCACCAGCGATGCTAAGGACCCCTCTCTCCGCCCGGCTCAGCCTGTTCGCAAAGGGGCTTCGCAGTTCCTGGGGAACGCATACCACCCACCTACATACCATGACATGCTTCCTGCCTTTGTAAGTCTTCAGAGGGCGTTTCCCACAGTCAGCCCGTCCGCGTCCAGTAGGACTGCTTCACGGGGGAGTGTGCACCTCCGGTGCCCCCCTGGCTGCACGGCTCGCCCCGTCCCTGCCTTGGAGGTTCCGTCATGTCCACTCTCTCCTCCCCAGTCCCCAGGGCCCCCGGCTTCTTTCCCTGCTCATGTGCTCACTCAGCCTTGGCTCTTGGAACGAGGAGAGGCAGGTTCCCCCAGGACACAGGCCCAGGTGTACTAGCAGCAGGAAGGAAATGGGGGAGACGGTGGCAGGTTACATGGGAAACCCCAAGAGTTCCTGTTTCTTTTTCCCGTTGTTCATTTTCCAAAACAAATTCGAATGCGAGCGGAACGGAGAGTTGGGGTCGTTACCAGAAACCTGCTCATTGATGTCGCGTTTCAGATGTGTTCGCCACAGTCACCCGAGAACCAGGGTACAGCGGAGCGAGCGTCGTTCCCGCCTCCGCCGCCCCGCCTGGAGCCCCGCGTTCCTTTCCGACAGTTCCAGATGAACGAGCAGGACGGGTACGGCTGCTGCGCGCGGGGGGCCGCCCGGGGTGGCCTCGGACACCAGGCAGTGCTTTGTCTTCTAAAGACCACGGTGCCCTGGAAACCAGCTCGCAACCGAGGGTGTGCGGACGCGGGCCGGCCGGGCGGGAGGCGGGGTTATGACCTGAGTTCCTGGCACAGGGGAGGTTTTGGCACGTGCCCCTGGGCAGCGGGCTACAGCAGGGGGCGGGCTTCTGGGCGGCGCCTTCGCTCGGTGTGTTCCTTTCCAACGGGGGTGCTTCCATATCAAACGCACACACAGACCTTGCAATTCAGGGCTTAACTTTTTAAAAGCGTTTGGTTTTGCTTCCATATGTGTAGTTGACGTAAGTCCAGTGTCTTTAACTTTTCTCTTAGCGGGCCCCCCGGCCCACCATCATCAACGCGGAGAACCTCAAGGGCCTGGATGACCTGGACACGGATGCCGACGATGGCTGGGCAGGTGGGTTGTGTGGCTGAGTGCGCTTTCCCCAGGGTTGGAGGCCAGCGGACGCCCTTCCCTGCCCAGGTGGGGGGGGCTTCCGGCCCATCCCTGTCTTCTTTTGGTCTTCGGCCTTGGTCTTGGAGCCGGGGTAGATTTTGCTGTTAACTTTTTTTAAAGACTTTTTTTATATGGAAAAGTTAAACCAGCGAAATTGTGTAATGACCCCCCAGCTCCCCCACCGGCCTCGGCAGGTGCCACCATTCTGCCTTTCTGTGTCTTTCCTCTCGCCCACTCTCCACCCGCAGCCTGATTATGCCCCTTTACAATCCTTTGTGTTTGTTTTCGCGTAAATTTTAATGACATTGAAAGACACGCAGCTTATTGTACACTTTCGACAAAGGGATACACCTGTGAGCCTTTTCCTCCTCCCCCAGCCCCTTCCTGCCCACCGGCCTCCCCAGACGGCCCCGGGCCGGCCACTCTTCTGGCGCCTCACCTGGAGCAGTTTTGCCCCTTGGATGATTACGCAAATGGAGTCACACAGCTTTTTCTCTGTGTCATGTTTCTGAGATTCGTCCATGTTGTTATATAGGTCACTTGTTGCTTTTAATTACTGGGGCATATTTTATTGTATCAATATACTTTAATTTACTGATCCACTTAAAAACCCCATCGTGTATAATCTTCTATAATAATAAAAGCATAATATGCTAATTAGACCAGACGTCCTTCAGGACGACCTTCTGGACAAAAGCTGGGGCTTCGAGGGAAGCCGGTGCCGGCAGCCGGGGGAAGGAAGGCCTACTCTTGCACGAATTTCGTGCGTCGGGCCTCTAATATTTTCATGTCTCTTGAGTGCACAGCGGGGAGTGGAAGTATCGGGTCAAAGGGTAGGTGTGTGATGGGGTGCACAAGGACCGCAGACCTCTGCCACGCGGCTGAGCCACTGCACATTCCCAGCAGCGACCACACCTTCCTGTCGGTCTTCGTGCTTTTAGCCGTTCTGGTGGGTGTGCAGTGGGTCTCATTGTGCTTTTCGTTTGCGTTTTGCGGGTGACGAACGCCAGTGAACACGTCTTCATGTGCTGTTTGAGGGGTGCATCTTTCCTTGCCGTCCTGAGGGGTCTGACACAAGTCCTTTGCAGCTTCACAAATATTTTTTCACCATAGTTTGCCTTGTCTCTTCTTTTTTTTAACCCTTGCCTGAGGGTGTCCTTTTTTCAGTGAGAGGAAGGGAGAGTGAGAGTTAGAGAGAGAGGCATTGATTTGATCGGTGCCTCCCATACACGCCCTGACCGGGGATCGAACTCGAAACCTGTGTAATGTGCCCTGACCAGGAATAGAACTCGCAACCCTTCGGTGCACCCTACAACGCTCTAACCCGCTGAGCCCCATCAGTCAGGGCATCTGTTCATCTTCTTAGCACTGTTTTGATGAACAGATGTTTTTAGTTTTGATGAAGTTTATAAATTTGTGTTTTTTTATGGTTATTACTTTTGTATCATATCTAAAAAAAATCTTTTGTCTCCCTTTGGTGGTAGAGATATTCCTTTATATTTTATAGGTTTAACTCTTACCGTATGTCACGTTGAATTAATTGATCTGTAAGGTGTAAGATAGGAGCTGAAGTTTATTTTTACCGTAAGGATATCCAGTTGCTCCCCACTATTTGTTGGTGAGGCTTCCCTTCCCCTATTGAACGGCTTTGGCACCTTTGCCAAAAATCAATTGACCTTTAAGTGTGGGTCTGTTCTGGACCTGTTTGTTCCGTTGATCCGTTTGTTCATCCTTATGCCAGTACCACACTGGGTCACTATAGTTCAAGTCTTAAGTTCAGGTAGTGTAAGCCTAATGGACAAAATAAACTGACAACATTTTTAAAAATTCAGGTCGTATAAGTTTTCAAGCTTTGTGTTTTGTTTTGTTTTGTTTTGCTTTTCAGTCCTCACCTGAGAACATGTTTTATTGACTTTGAGAGAGAAACATCGGCTGGTTGCCTCCCACGCACGCCTTGACCAGGGATCGAAGCCACAGCCCTTCGGTGCTCGGAACAGTGATCTTAGCCGAGCCCTCTGCGAGTGCTTGTTTGTGTTTGGGTTGGGTCACTATTCTGAGTTCTTTCCATTCCATGTAAATTTAGAATCAGCCGAGCAGTATTTACAAAAAGCCTGCAAACGTTTTGGTCAGGATTTTATTGAATTTACTTCTGGATAAATGATGCCTTAATTTTGAAGCTTCTATGCAGGAACCTGGTGAATCTATCAGGTCTTTCCTTTCCCCAGCAGTGGTTTAGAGTTTTCAGGGCCAAGGTCTTGACTATGTTTCATCAAGTTTATTCCTGAGTATTTGATGGTCTTTGATACTAATATAAATGGCATTGTTTCTTTAATGTTGTTTTCAAGTGTTTGATGTTATTATGCAGAAATGCAAGTTGATTTTGTGTATTGACCTTATACCAGACACTTTGCTGAATGCACGCACTAGTTTTTGTTGATTTCTTAGCATTTCTACATAAATCATCGTGTTGCCAATAAATAGGGGCAGCTTTATGTCTTCCTTTTCAGACTTGATGCCTTTTTTTTTTCTTGCTTTATTGCACTGTGGTACTTCCAGCCCAATGTTGTATTCAAGTTCTTTGGGGGTCACCACAACATGAGGAGCTGTATTAAAGGGCCGCGGCATCAGGAAGGTTGAGAAGCACTGGCTTAGTGTCTCACCTTTAAATATGATGTTAGCTATAGCTTGTTGGGGATATTCTTGACCAGATTGAGGTGGTTCTCTTTAGTTTGCTGTTTTGTTTTTAAATCATGAATGCGCATGTATTGAATTGTGTTAAATGCTTTTTCTGTCCCTGTGATCATATGATTTTTCTCCGTTATTGTGGTAATCTTGTGGATTGCATTTATGTATTTATTCTTTCATTTATTTTCTTTTATAATTGTGATTTTATTGTTTGTTTTGATAAAGTCATCAATCATGTGCCTCCTGCACGCCCCCTACTGGGGATCGAGCCTGCAACCCAAGCATGTGTCCTGACTGGGAATTGAACCGGGGCCTGAGCCACGCCAGCTGGCTGTATACAATTCTTAACATACATACCCGAAATGTAAATTCATGTAGTTGTGGTTTTTTTCTAAATAGTTAAGCCAGTGACGTTCTAGCTTAAAATTTGGAGGTTAATTTTCTTTAATAGAGTATCAAGTACCAATATCTTTAAATGTTGATACACTGTTACATCAAAGCCCCACTAATTCACAATTAATATCATATATGTTGTAATCAAATTTTCTGTCTTTCACAGCACATTTACAAAGTTACTAGGAAAACTAGACTACCACACCAAAGATGTTTCTCTCATATACTTCTCTCCCTTTCTCTCTGAACATCAATAAAGGGGGGGAAAAATTTTAAGAATCCTAAGATTCTATATACATATATATGTATATACTAATACACACACACACACACACACACACACACACTAGAGGCCTTATGCACAAAATATGTGGAAGAGTAGGACTTCCTTCCCCTGGCTGCCTGCACCAGCTTCCCTCTGGCACCCAGGACCCGGACTTCCCTTGCAGCCCCGGCTTTTTCCGGAAGGACGTCTGGTCTAATTAGCATATTATGCTTTTATTATTATAGATTGCCCTGATTTAGGAGCTGTTGTCTGGGGCGAGGGTCAGTCTGACCAGGCTGCCTTCCTGTTCCCAGAAGCCAGCGCTCCTTCCGTTTAACTGCTGTTTGTTGGGTGGTGGCAGCCACGTGGCTAGCCTCCCTCCTCGTGGGGCTGGCATGATTCCGGACTGAGGTGGCACTGTTGGCAGCTGGAATTCTCACCTTTCTCATTCTCCCTGGCCCACGCCCTGATGCAGGCCTCCATGAGGAAGTGGACTATTCTGAGAAGTTGAAGTTCAGTGATGACGAAGAGGAGGAGGACGTGGTAAAGGATGGCCGGCCACAGTGGTAAGTCTCTCCCTCTGCTGGGCACGTCCAGTGCAACCTTAGCTTAGCGGCACTGCCATGTGCTGGTCCTGTGCCAAGTGCGTTTCCTAGTTTCCAGCAACTTCCCAGGGCAGATACTGTTTCATTTTGCAGATGAGAGGGCTAAGCTTTGGGGCACCCGTTGGAGAATTGGGCCAGGATTTGCATCCAAGCGTGGCAGGCTGGGTGCTAGTGATTGTAACCGCTGCCCCAGTTCTTCCCTGAGGGTGTGTGGGAGACCACGTGTTCTGTAGTGATTATGGCTGTCATGCCCCAGAAGCCGTGGCCACGCGAGTTTGGGAAACCGCCTGGGTTCAGTTTTCTCCTTCCTCCAGGGCCGCCTGCCGTCTGGGGTGAGCACGCAGAAACATGCTGGGGACCTCCGGGGAGCTGGGGAAGCTTACGCAGGGCAGACCAGGCTTCCTAAACTTCTTAGACCAATTTAATCTTTTCTCTCTTTTTCTGGATCATTTTATTGGACAAATTTTACTCATAATGCCCTTTGGAAAATACTTAATTGTACTCTAACTCCTTTTGTTTTTATCATAATATCAGTAGTATTGGCTAGTACTAGAGGCCCGATGCACGAAATCCGTGGCGGCTTGCCTCGCCCTCACAACCCCGGCTTTGTCCAGAAGGTGGTCCAGAAGGTTGTTTGGCTGTCTGGTCTAATTAGCATATCATGCTTTTATTATTATTGACATTTTTATTGATTTCAGAGAGGATGGGAGGGGGAGAGAAAGGCAGAAACATCAATGATGAGAGAGAATCATCGATGAGCTGCCTCCTGCACGCCCCACACTGGAGATCGAGCCCACAACCTGTGAATTGAACCGTGACCTGACCTCCCCCCACCCAGTCCCCGCCCCCACCCAGGCTTCATCACACTATTGGCTAGCACTTCAGTACCTTAAAAGAGCGCCTGCGGTTGCTTTAATTTGCCTTTTCTTTCTTTTTTTCTTTTTTGTACCAGCACATGTGATTTTTTTCCTTCATGTGGCATTTCCTGTTTTCTTTATACACCACCTATTGGACTTATTGTGCTTTCCTCAAAAATGTGATTTTTAAAATATTGTTTAGATATTAATGTTTTAATGTTTCTCTTTGTTTCATTGTCACTGATTGAGTGTGTGTGTGGTTCCCTCTGCAAGTCTTTCTCCGCTGTTTGTCTTTCACTTCTAAGCCCCTGGAGTCAGCGCCCCCTCCTGGAGGAAACTGGTAACACGCTCTGCCGCTCTGATGGCACACAGTTAACTGAGGCTTCTGTCGTCTATTTTCCCGCCGCTCAATGGCCGTGGGGACTGTCTGTGGATCAGTTCTTGGAACACTGAGCTTAGAAGGAAATGTGACCAAGAATTTAAGTCAAAGGCAAAGACATAAAACTTTACAGGTTGATTGAGCAGTAGGACACGGTTCTCTCTTTCAGTTGATATTAATTGAATATTCAACTGAAGGAGTTAGACATGGAGTCAGCTTTGCTACTGGCTATGATTGAAGGCACCTCCTCCCTAAATATATTTGTATTGACCTCAAGAGGAAGAGAGAGGGAGAGAGAGATAGAAACAAGAGTGATGAGAGAGAATCATTGATCAGCTGCCCCCTGCACGCCCCACACTGGGGATGGAGCCCATAACCTGGGCATGTGCCCTGACCGGGAATTGAACCATGACCTCCTGGTTCATAGGTTGATGCTCAACCATGGAGCCACGCTGGCTGGGCGAAACCTGCTCTTGTTTTGATATTCTCTGAGCTGGCTGGTGATGCAGTCCCCAGAGACCCCTACAATGAGCCCAGAGTCCCTCTGACATCTTCGCTTCCCATCCATGATGATTCCTGAAACTGCCCTTGACTCATCCCTTCCTGTTCGTTGTGTCGGGGCCATGGGACAGGCCTCCTGTCTTTTCTGGACCATGTTGTTCTCTTACCCTCACACTGTGCCCCATTGTCTTCTAAAGACACGGCCTTCTCTGGTGCATCAGAGACCTGGGTGTGGTCTCTCCCTCTCTCACAGGGAAGTCAGTAGTCGCCAGCAGTGTTGCCCTCCTAACCTCCCTTACCTGCCTCAGCTTCCGCCTCACACACATGTGTGCACCGACACGTGCACACACAGAGGAGCCAGACCTGGCCTGCTGTGCTCTGCCTCCTGTTGGGTGACCGGTCACTTCTTTCCCGCACAGGAGGCTTTGCCCCAGGCCTGCGTCTGGCTCCGCCCTGAGCACGTGCAGGTGCGCAGGCACAGCTCTCTTCCCCCGTCTCTTCCCGCCTCCCGCAGCCGGGGCACTCGCCAGGCCTGGCCGCCTGTCCCTGCTGTGTGCTCTCCTTCCTCCTCTCGCTCCTCCCTGGGGCACCCGCAGCGTGCCTCTTTTGCGGAACATTGTGAGCACCTTCAGTGCCAAGCACAGGGCGGGGTCTGTAGTAAAGGAAGCACCTTCTTCTGGGTTCGGCTCCAAATCTGTTAGCTCCTCCCTGGGCGAGCAGCTGCCCACCTCTCGGAGAATCTTGTTTCCACTCTTTAAAAGGGGAAGAATGAGGGCCCCCTCAACACCCCCATAAAGTAATGGGTGTGGAACAGCCGAGCTGGAGCTTTGAGCTTTGTGTGAGAGGTTGAATGGTAAATGTTGGTGCTGAATGTTGGTGTTCTGGGATGTCTGTTGCGGTAAGGGGGTGGGAGCGGGTCTGCTCCGATGAAGGAGATGGTGTGTAGACAGCTGACGAAGGACCGCTGGCTCGTAAGGCCAGACCGAGGTGGCCGACTGGGACACTAACCGCTTGCGGTTGTCCTAGGAGCAGCTGGGACCCGAGGCGGCAGCGGGGGCTGTCAATGAGCTCTGTGGACAGTGCTGATGCCAAGCGTGCCCACGAGGAAGGAAAGGACTGGGGCGAGACGGTGGGAGTGGCTCGCGTCGGCCGGAAGGTGCCAGAACCTCAGCCCCCTCCGAGGAAGCTTCACAGCTGGGCCTCAGGCCCTGAGTACCAGGTACCGTGGGGTCTGTGCCTGTGACTAGCTGGGGGGCTCTCTCTCCTTTCTCTTTCTTTCTCTCCTTCTCCCTCCTTCCTCTCCCCCCCCCTCCTTTCTCTCTCTCTCTCTTTCTTCACATTCATTTGACCAGAAGTCCAAGAAGAAGACAAATAGTCCCCTAGTTGGATGCCCTCTGCATTTGTACTTTGCTGAGTTGAGTGTTTGATGTCTGAAAGTCCTAGGAAGATATCTCTCTCTTTTTTTCTTTTTTAATTAAATCTTTATTCAAATTATTACAGTTGTTCCTCTTTTTTCCCCCCATAGCTCCCCTCCACCCGGTTCCCACCCCACCCTCTGCCCTTACCACAAGGAGCATGCATGAGGGCTGGCGTGAGAATGTGTGAGCGAGGTGTGAGATGAGACTGGCAAGGAAGCCAGAGGGGAGCCCTGCGGTACCTTATGTAGGGGCACTGTTATTCTTTTTTACAGATTAGAAAAAATGAGACTCAGAGCTCTTGAATAATTTGTCTCATCTCACAGCTAGTTAAGTGGTGGAGCCAGATTTCAAGCTGTGGTAGGTAGAATAATGGCTCCCCTACAGATACTCATGTCCCGGGAACCTGCGAATATGTAAGGTTACATGACAATGGGGAATTAAGATATGAAATTAAATTAAGATTACTAATATCTGACCTTAAAATATGGGGGTTATTTTATTTTATTTTTTATTGATTTCAGAAAGGAAGGGAGAGGGAGAGACAGGAACATCAATGATGAGAGAGAATCATCGATGAGCTGCCTCCTGCACGCCCCACACTGGAGATCGAGCCCACAACCTGTGAATTGAACCGTGACCTCCTGGTTCATTAGATTGACGTTCAACCACTGAGCCATGCTGGCCGGGCTTGACTAGTACCTTTGTTTGTTTATTTTTGCATTTTACATATTTTAAAAGCCATATAAATAACGTGTTTTGTAAAATACAAAAAATGTTTAATTAAAAATAAGGCAGAAATCCTTTAATCCTAAATCCATAAATAATCATCAACATTTTTAAGTGTATTTTGTATTGTTGACGATATTACAGATGTCCCCTTTCCCCCCAACCCATTGACTCCCTTCACTCCACATCCTCCTCCCAGGCCTTCACCACACTATTGTCTATGTCCATGGGTTATACATATATACATATAAATTATTTGGTTAATCTCTTCCCTCCCCACCTCCCCCCTTTCCTCTGTGATTCATCAAACTGCTATGTTTTTTAAAAAGTAACCCTAA